GTAAAATCGTCATTATTTGCAGATGACATGGCACTATATATGGAAGAACCTGACTCCATCAAAAAGCTATTAGAACTAATAAATGAATTAAAAAAATTGCAGGATACAAAATCAATATACAGAAATCTGTTGCATTTTATCTACTAATAGAGAACTATCAGAAAGAGAAATTAAGAAAACCATCCCATTTACAATTGCATCCAAAAGAATGAAATGCCTAGAAATAAATTTAACTGAAGAAGTAAAAGATCTGTACTCTGAAAGCTGTAAGATACTGATGAAAGAAATTGAAGACAACACTTAAAAGTGGAAAGATACATCGTGCTTATGGATTGGAAGAATTAATATTGTTAACATGTTCATACTATTTAAAGCAGTCTATAGATTCAGTGCAATCTATCAAAATACCAATGGCATTTTTCACAACTTACTGAATGATAGAATGTATTTGTAAATTATATATCCAATAAGGGGTTTATAGCCAAAATATATTAAAAAACTTTGTACAACTCAACACCAAAAAGCCAAATAATCTCATTAAAAAATGGGCAGAGGACCTGAATAAACACTTTTTGTAACAACTTTCTATAGTGACAGTAACTAAACTTACAGTGAGCATTTTGTAGTTTATGTAATTATATATACAGTTGTATATTTATAATTGTATTTGTATTATAATTGATATAAGTTTTATATAATTGTCAAATCACTATGTTGTACAGCTGAAGCCAATTATATGTCAACTCTTTCAATAAAAATTTAATAAGGACAGATTCTGTTATCTTTTGGCAATATTAGCAAAGAATGATTCTTAATGAAACATGTTATTAAATTGATAATAAACAAATACAAAATGTTACGAATTTGTAAAGTTGGGAGGGATACAACAAAAGGCAACTTTAATAATTTACTGATCTTTCAGAAGTTTTAGTCTAATTAAAATATTCCCTATTAATTACTGAAGAATTTTGAGTCTTTGCTATGTACTATTTGGGGAAGACTCCTGGCAATAAGACAAGGCCCTGACCTCATGGGTCTTATACTTTAGCTGGGGAAAAGACATAAGTAAATGAGAAAATAGAAGGTATTATAGATGCTATGAAGAAAATAGATAGGCTTGATGTACTTTGTCTAAGGGCCTGCTTTAGATCTTTGTGAGAAGATAGTATTTAAGCTGAGATCTGATTGGTAAGAGAGAGGCTCAGGACCATCTGGATAGAAAATGAAGACATGAAGACCAAACAACCAAGAATGAGGGCATTGAGGTGGCCAGTGGTCTTGGGTTGTGGTTGGAGTATGAAATGGGGGAAGGAGGTGGAACACTAGGTTGAAGAGGTGGTCAGAAGCCTCATTCCAAAGGGCCTTGCAGGCTAGGGGGAGTTGCTGGAAGATTTGGGGAGTCAAGGGTGCTAACAGCCTAGCTCATAGACTATTGTAACAATCGAGAAAAGATATGGTGATGGTTGGTGGTAGTGATGAAAGTGATGAGAATTTACCTTAAGGATGTATGCTGAAGGGTCTTCATGAGCAATTAGATAAGGAAAGTGAGGTAAAGATGGGATTCCAAGAAATTTAAATGTCTATCAAGCATTGCCAATTTTTCTTTAAGCTGAAAAATGGACGACAGTTTCATTGATGTGTTTGTCTTAACTGTTTTTGCAAAAAGCAGGTCAAAGGGTAAAAAAGTAGAACTTTGTACTTTTCTGGAAAAGTATTACACCATTAGAATAAGCAAATTTTACAATATTGCATTGTGATTAGTTTTTGAAATAATACATAGGTTATTAACCAAGTATATTTTCTCTTAGATTAATGTCCTTCAATCAAAAAGGAGATCAGAAATCCTAAAATCAGTAAGATATTCATTGAAATTATTTTTTTATATATTTTAATGTGAAACTAAATATATATTTAAGTGTTTAAGTAGCATCATATGTGTTTGTATGTATGTACGTTTTCCAGGTTCATAATTAATCATATTGATCTTTTTGTACTTCTTTTATGTCCCTTAACTCTTCATCTTATAGTAATTTATGTGTATCTCATCTATTAATGCACTGTGAGCTTCTTAAAACAGACATTTAAATATTTAAGGATGAGGGCATACATAAATAATATCATTTACAGAATTTTCCTCTTAGGGTTGTTGATAATATACCAACCTTTTGGTTTTTCTTTGGAGTGCAGTTAGAAAACAAATGGGGCGAAATTTGAGGATCACTTTTTATTTTTCATAGGGTGCAAGAGGAATATGTCTAGACTCAGCCTATCTTTGCATTGCTACAGTTCCCCCATGTCCACTCATTTCATTGACACAGGTGGCCACCTCCAGGGAATGCACCAACACCATGCTGATAATGATTATTTTATTTGCCCTTCTTTTTTGCCTTAAAGCTAAAAAGGCAGGGGATGGTAGTGATATGGCATTGCACTCTTTTGTATTTTGAGAATCTTAGAGATTATTTCTCTTCTCTGATTTTGTTCACTAATGTTTTTTCTTTTTTCCTGAAAAAGGTGTATTTGTTGCTTTTGATCCTAGTCTCCACCTAACTTTTCCCTAAATTCTGTATTTGTTTTATATCAGATATGTACACTTGACATGCTGTTAACCTCATTCCTTCTGCAGATTGAGAACAATGTATGTTAACTGTAGAAAATTGTAAATTAAAATGTATGAAGAAAAAATTAAAATACTTAAAAATCCTAATACCAAGGGAGAACCATTGCTGGTGTCTTGGCATATATCTTCAGCTTTTTTCTCTCTTTCTGAGTGTGTGTATGTGTACGTGAGTGAACATGTATATGTGCCTTTTAAAGTTCCATATAATGTTTTAAACAAAATAGGAATCATTCCTACATACTGTTTTATGACTTAATTTTTTCACTAATAACCCCAGTCATCATGTGTCATTAAATATTTTTTAATGGTTAAATAATGATTTAATTATGACTTTTGTGGCCAAGTAGAATTCTCTTACATGAATATATCAGGGATGCACACATTTTTTTTTTTTTGAAGGGCTAGGTAGTAAGTACATTAGGTTTTTGGGCCATGTCATCTGTATTACAACTACTCCACTGTGCTGTGTAATGAGAAAGCAGCCATAGGCAATACATACATGGCTGTGTTTCAATAAATCTATTTTTATGGACATGGAAATTTGAATTTCATATATTTTTCATGTGTCATGAGTTTCATGTCTTCTTTTCATATCCCTCAACTGTTTACAGATGTTAAAACCATTGATAGCTTATAGGTCATTCAAAAACAGGTGATGGATCTGGATATAGTTTGCAGGTCATGGTTTACTGACCTTGAATATACCATCAATTAACTTCACTTATTAACAGATTATTAAATAATTTCCATGTTTGACATTAAGGAATAGCAGGGTAGATTAAGACAGGTGTTTACTTAGTCAAGAGAGTTTACACATTTAATTAATAAAAAATATTGTCATATTTTAAAGGTTACACAGCTCAGAGTGAACATTTTTTTTTTAGCAGCACCGGGTATTAGTTGGGGGTTTAGTTTGCCCCACTCTGCTCACAATTTGGTAGACAGAAAATGTCATCTCATTGTTCAATTTTGCATTTAGTATAAATGAGTTTGAGCATTCTTTCCATATATAGAATGTATTTGTAAATTATATATCCAATAAGGGGTTTATAGCCAAAATATATTAAAAAACTTTGTACAACTCAACACAAAAAAGCCAAATAATCTCATTAAAAAATGGGCAGAGGACCTGAATAAACACTTTTTGTAACAACTTTCTATAGTGACAGTAACTAAACTTACAGTGAGCATTTTGTAGTTTATGTAATTATATATACAGTTGTATATTTATAATTGTATTTGTATTATAATTGATATAAGTTTTATATAATTGTCAAATCACTATGTTGTACAGCTGAAGCCAATTATATGTCAACTCTTTCAATAAAAATTTAATAAGGACAGATTCTGTTATCTTTTGGCAATATTAGCAAAGAATGATTCTTAATGAAACATGTTATTAAATTGATAATAAACAAATACAAAATGTTACGAATTTGTAAAGTTGGGAGGGATACAACAAAAGGCAACTTTAATAATTTACTGATCTTTCAGAAGTTTTAGTCTAATTAAAATATTCCCTATTAATTACTGAAGAATTTTGAGTCTTTGCTATGTACTATTTGGGGAAGACTCCTGGCAATAAGACAAGGCCCTGACCTCATGGGTCTTACACTTTAGCTGGGGAAAAGACATAAGTAAATGAGAAAATAGAAGGTATTATAGATGCTATGAAGAAAATAGATAGGCTTGATGTACTTTGTCTAAGGGCCTGCTTTAGATCTTTGTGAGAAGATAGTATTTAAGCTGAGATCTGATTGGTAAGAGAGAGGCTCAGGACCATCTGGATAGAAAATGAAGACATGAAGACCAAACAACCAAGAATGAGGGCATTGAGGTGGCCAGTGGTCTTGGGTTGTGGTTGGAGTATGAAATGGGGGAAGGAGGTGGAACACTAGGTTGAAGAGGTGGTCAGAAGCCTCATTCCAAAGGGCCTTGCAGGCTAGGGGGAGTTGCTGGAAGATTTGGGGAGTCAAGGGTGCTAACAGCCTAGCTCATAGACTATTGTAACAATCGAGAAAAGATATGGTGATGGTTGGTGGTAGTGATGAAAGTGATGAGAATTTACCTTAAGGATGTATGCTGAAGGGTCTTCATGAGCAATTAGATAAGGAAAGTGAGGTAAAGATGGGATTCCAAGAAATTTAAATGTCTATCAAGCATTGCCAATTTTTCTTTAAGCTGAAAAATGGACGACAGTTTCATTGATGTGTTTGTCTTAACTGTTTTTGCAAAAAGCAGGTCAAAGGGTAAAAAAGTAGAACTTTGTACTTTTCTGGAAAAGTATTACACCATTAGAATAAGCAAATTTTACAATATTGCATTGTGATTAGTTTTTGAAATAATACATAGGTTATTAACCAAGTATATTTTCTCTTAGATTAATGTCCTTCAATCAAAAAGGAGATCAGAAATCCTAAAATCAGTAAGATATTCATTGAAATTATTTTTTTATATATTTTAATGTGAAACTAAATATATATTTAAGTGTTTAAGTAGCATCATATGTGTTTGTATGTATGTACGTTTTCCAGGTTCATAATTAATCATATTGATCTTTTTGTACTTCTTTTATGTCCCTTAACTCTTCATCTTATAGTAATTTATGTGTATCTCATCTATTAATGCACTGTGAGCTTCTTAAAACAGACATTTAAATATTTAAGGATGAGGGCATACATAAATAATATCATTTACAGAATTTTCCTCTTAGGGTTGTTGATAATATACCAACCTTTTGGTTTTTCTTTGGAGTGCAGTTAGAAAACAAATGGGGCGAAATTTGAGGATCACTTTTTATTTTTCATAGGGTGCAAGAGGAATATGTCTAGACTCAGCCTATCTTTGCATTGCTACAGTTCCCCCATGTCCACTCATTTCATTGACACAGGTGGCCACCTCCAGGGAATGCACCAACACCATGCTGATAATGATTATTTTATTTGCCCTTCTTTTTTGCCTTAAAGCTAAAAAGGCAGGGGATGGTAGTGATATGGCATTGCACTCTTTTGTATTTTGAGAATCTTAGAGATTATTTCTCTTCTCTGATTTTGTTCACTAATGTTTTTTCTTTTTTCCTGAAAAAGGTGTATTTGTTGCTTTTGATCCTAGTCTCCACCTAACTTTTCCCTAAATTCTGTATTTGTTTTATATCAGATATGTACACTTGACATGCTGTTAACCTCATTCCTTCTGCAGATTGAGAACAATGTATGTTAACTGTAGAAAATTGTAAATTAAAATGTATGAAGAAAAAATTAAAATACTTAAAAATCCTAATACCAAGGGAGAACCATTGCTGGTGTCTTGGCATATATCTTCAGCTTTTTTCTCTCTTTCTGAGTGTGTGTATGTGTACGTGAGTGAACATGTATATGTGCCTTTTAAAGTTCCATATAATGTTTTAAACAAAATAGGAATCATTCCTACATACTGTTTTATGACTTAATTTTTTCACTAATAACCCCAGTCATCATGTGTCATTAAATATTTTTTAATGGTTAAATAATGATTTAATTATGACTTTTGTGGCCAAGTAGAATTCTCTTACATGAATATATCAGGGATGCACACATTTTTTTTTTTTTGAAGGGCTAGGTAGTAAGTACATTAGGTTTTTGGGCCATGTCATCTGTATTACAACTACTCCACTGTGCTGTGTAATGAGAAAGCAGCCATAGGCAATACATACATGGCTGTGTTTCAATAAATCTATTTTTATGGACATGGAAATTTGAATTTCATATATTTTTCATGTGTCATGAGTTTCATGTCTTCTTTTCATATCCCTCAACTGTTTACAGATGTTAAAACCATTGATAGCTTATAGGTCATTCAAAAACAGGTGATGGATCTGGATATAGTTTGCAGGTCATGGTTTACTGACCTTGAATATACCATCAATTAACTTCACTTATTAACAGATTATTAAATAATTTCCATGTTTGACATTAAGGAATAGCAGGGTAGATTAAGACAGGTGTTTACTTAGTCAAGAGAGTTTACACATTTAATTAATAAAAAATATTGTCATATTTTAAAGGTTACACAGCTCAGAGTGAACATTTTTTTTTTAGCAGCACCGGGTATTAGTTGGGGGTTTAGTTTGCCCCACTCTGCTCACAATTTGGTAGACAGAAAATGTCATCTCATTGTTCAATTTTGCATTTAGTATAAATGAGTTTGAGCATTCTTTCCATATATATATATATATATATATATATATATATATATTTTTTTTGGTCACTTGTGTTGCCTATGTTTATTGTTCTTTGTCTCATTTTCTGTCTCTTTTTCAGTTTTTCATACACTGGTTTGTAATATCTCTTATATGCTAAAACTATTAACCTTTTGTTCTGGATCTTCTGGTTTATCATTTATCTTCTAATATGCTTATTATATGTTTTGATGTGCAGGCATATTTTACAGTTTTATGTAGTCGTAACTATTAATCTCTCCCTCTCTTTTTTATAAAATTCAGTATTTTTTATTTCACAGAGTTGTACAACCACCATTATCTAATTCCAGAATAATCTTTTAGTGAACTTTGTCCTTTTTTCTTTGTACTTCATTTAATTTTTTCTCTTCAAAAAAACATTTCTTTTGAAAGATTCTTGTTACTAAAAATAATATGGATGTTTGGAAGATTGTTTCAGTATTGTGACTGAATAATTCCTTTTCATGTAAAAGCAAGTAATAAAAATAGGGGTGATTTTTCTCTCATGAATAGGTAAAAATACAGGCAAATGTGGAAAAAAGTCTTTTTAATCCACTAACAATGTTTTAGGATTTTTAGAATGAATATAATCAGACTTCCATATTGGAAATTTGATTGACTCATTTTATTTTGTTATCTTGGGGGGAAAAAATGAGCATTCCTCTACTTCAGGTTGTGCTTAAGTCATCTAGTAGGTTGTAAAGTGCTCGTAATTGTGTGTTGAGAGCTTCATATTTCTCCTTCTAATCTTTTAATGTCTTATTTACAATTTAAGGTTTTGCCAGTGAGTGTGGCTGAAGTAAAGGCACACAGATGCTTTACAATATACCTAGGAAGACGGTGGAGCTCTTAAAAGCTTGATTCTTTGAATTATTACTGTATAAATTTTGATTGTCTGGACAGTCTAAACAAGTAAAATTTGGGGCATTGTTAAAATTTTAAACCACTTGGAAATTTGTTCTCATATTTGCAGATATTTCTGAAATACTTCTATAAGAAAAATGACTCAGTTTAATTTTAAATAGGTCAGATATATTGGGCTCTTGTAGAATAATTTTTAAACATTAGGTAGTATCAAGGTCTTTAACAATATTAGAATATCCATCTAAGAACTGATTTTAAGATGCGAATCTTTTTTTTCTTCTGTTAGATGTTATCCTTTATGTATGCCCATTTGGCCTTCTTTCATCAAGGATATGATCTATTTAGTGAACTTGGGCCCTACATGAAAGATCTTGGTGCACAGGTAATATACTATACTTCCTAATTCTGTGTTCTACATTGATATCTGGATTTTTTAAAATTGAGATATAATTGACGTATAACATTATTAGTTTCAGGTGTACAAAATGATCAATATATGTATAAATTGCAAAATGCTCATTTAACAGTTAAAAACATTTTTCCTGCTATGAGAACTTTTAAGATCTAATCTCTTAGCAAATGTCAGATGTTTAACACAGTATTATTAACTGTAGTCACTATATTGTACATTAAATCCCTAGGAGTTTTTATAACTTAAAGTTTGTACTTTTTGTCCCTCTTCACCCATTTTGTCCACTTCTTACCCTACCTTTGGCAACCTCCAATCTGTTCTGTGTATCCATGAGTTTGGTTTTTTATTCTACCTATCAGTGAGGTCATATAGTATTTGTCTTTCTCTGTCTGCCTTATATCACTTAGCACAATACTGTCTGCATCCATCCACGTTGTCACAGAAGACAGGATTTCCTTCTTTTTAAATGGCTGAATAATACTCCGTTGTGTATACATACCCCATTTTCTTTATTCATTCATCTGTTGGTGGACACTTAGGTTGTTGCCATGCCTTGGCTATTGTAAATAATGCTGCAGTGAGCTTAGGGATGCAGATATCTTTTCAAATTAATGTCTTTGTTTCTTTTGGATAAATATCCAGAAGTGGAATTGCTGGATCATATGGTAGTTCTATTTTTAATTTTTGAGGAACCTCTGTATTGTTTTCCATAGCAGCTGCACCTACATTCCTACTGAGTTTACAAGGGTTCCCTTTTCTCCACATACTTGCCAACACTTGTTATCTCTTGTCTTTTTGATGACAGTCATTCTAACAGATATGAGGTGATACCTCCTTGTGGTTTTGATTAGCATTTTCTGGTGATCAGTGATGTTGAGTATCTTTTCCTGTGCCAGTTAGCCACCTGTGTGTCTTCTTTGGAAACATGTCTCTTTAGATCTTCTGCGTATGTTTTAATTGGGTAGTTAGGTGTATGAGTTCTTTATATATTTTTGAATATTAGCCCCTTATCAGATACATGATTTGCAAATAGTGACTGCTACTCATTAGGTTGCCTTTTTATTTTGTTGATGGTTTCCTTTGCTATGGAGAAACTTTTTAGTTTGGTATAGTCCCACTTGTTTATTTTTGTTTTTGTAACCTTTGCTCCAATAGGTGTATTTAAAAAGAAATGTAACATATTGGGAAATTTGACATTTCATTTATTTAATGAAGATATTTTTATGGTACTGCAGATTTATGTATGGGTTAAATGTGTAACAAAAATTGAGATTGAGGTTAGAAAATATGTTGTAGATAGTATATGAAGGTACTGAAAAGGAAAATTTACAAGCAAAGTGTCAGTTTTATAGTATCCATAGCTGAATTTTTCATTTCTTACATTTGGATAATTGAGTTACTGTCCTATATGGTTTTTCATTTGAGTTAGAACTTTTTATTTTCAAAAAAGTATATATTCTGCTATCTTGAATAATAAAATTTTAGAATCTTAAGATTACAGAACTCTGGGGAACTTTTTCACTTTATATACATGTGTGCATGCATGAATTATACATATATTTATAAGGATATTATATAGAAACTTCATGAGGTTCAAATTATTTTTGATATCTGATCAGAACTTTTTATTTAATCTATCCTGAGACATTCTGTTTTGTTAATTGGTGAGCTTTCTGGATTTAATAGTATCAATTTTTAGGTGATTTTATTTCCTCAAATGGTTCAGGTTACCTATTGAGGAAAGGAGGTTAAGGATGAAAAGTGTAGTGTAGGGAAATGGGAGTAAAGTAAGAGTAGAATGAGAATTGTACTAATTGACCAAAAATAATTATGGCCTATGCATGTTTGCTCGTGTGTTTGAGATATATGGGGAAAAAAAGGATAGTATGTAGGGCATATGCCATGGATTACAGAGATACTCTTCCCTGCCCCAAAAAACTTAATCTATTGGAAGAAGCCAACAAATCACCAGACTTTTAATCTCTGCTAATTGTCCTGTCTGGGTATATAAATTTAGATTAGGTTTGTTTGCATGTGATATAAAACTGAAAATAATAGTAGCTTCAACAAGATAAAATTTTATTTCTCCTATGTAAAGTCAAAGGGCTCGTATAGTGGTCACTTGATTTGCAGGGACCCAGGCCTACTGTATCATTTGATTCTACCTCATGTAAAAAGTGTGTGTTGAAGCTTTAACCATCATATACAAATTCTGGCTAATAGAAAAGAGGAAAGGGCAAAGAGAGATGCAGTCTCTCTCTTCTCTGCTTCTGGCACTCACAGTTGCAGCCGTGGTCCTGGGACCAGTGCATCAAATAGAAAGTTGCAGAGATATGGGGAAGAACTGTATAGTCTCACTAGCATACTCCCCACTCCCTCTTCCCCAAGTCCCCCAGAAAAGTGGACAAATCTATCTAGTGGGGACCCTTCCTTAGCCCCCCTAACTGTGAGTACACACCCTTAAAGGTGTGTAAGCCAGCCCCTCATGCCTTTATCTCCCCCCATTTTAGACAGCAACTGTTACAGTGTCCATTCCAGTTTTCTGTTAAACCATTGCTCTGAGGATGATATGAAACATGGTGTGTCCGTCCATCTGATGTGATGTCTCTTGGCTCAGTGTTGGACACTATGGGCTGTAAAGTATGTCCCTTGGTCTGAACACATGTAATTTGGTGGTCTAAATTGATAATGGCATCTTCTGTTCCAATCCAATATTTTGAACATTTGCATCTACCATCAGGTATGCAAAGCCCAGTCCAGAATAAGCGTCTATTGCAGTTAGGATCCATTTATAGCCCCCACGGGCTACTGGCATTGGTCCAATATAATCCACTTGCCAGCTATGTGTGGGGCCTTCCCCCTGGGGAATTTTCCCCATAGCCAACTGCAGTGTTTGTCTCTCTTGTTGACAGATGGAACAGTTCTTGTTGGCATTCTGTGCTTCATAGGGTGCAAGAGGAATATGTCTAGACTCAGCCTATCTTTGCATTGCTACAGTTCCCCCATGTCCACTCATTTCATTGACACAGGTGGCCACCTCCAGGGAATGCACCAACAGGTCCATTTGGTGGTTCCAATCACCTTCTGATTCAGGAAGGGGGCTCTTCTGATGGGTATCAACTTGTCCTCCTTTAATTATGCCCCTCAAATTTCCAGAGTGATTTCCAAAGGGCTGCACCCCACATGGACATTCTTTAATAGTCCAGTTTTCCATTACCCATTTACCTGACCATATAGCCGGGCCATTGGCTTCAGCCCATGATTCAGTAAAAATCTAAACATAGGGGCTTTTTTCATTGTTCAATTTTTCCATCACTGCCAGGAAAACAGCATGCAGTTCAGCCCACTGAGCTCAATTGTTCTTACCTTCTTCAACCAGAACCTTGCCATCCTCTGGTCTTAAGGCAGCAGCTTTCCAAACAGGATATCGTCCATTCATCTTGGAACTGTCATCTGTTAACCAAGCAGCTCTTTGCACTTCAGCTGAGAGCCATTCATAGGGCACAGCCCATGGAGCAGTCAATTCTGGCAGCTCATCAGGTGGCTCCAGCGTTGGTCCCAGACAAAAAGTGGCTGTCTGCTCATAGATATGGTGTGGGCCTCCTTGCATTCTCCTGGCTGAATGCTCCTATATGAACCATTTCTATTTTATTATGGAACTCTTCTGGTCACTGCCTTCCTTATTAGAGTGTTTCTCTGACATCACCCAAGGCATTTTGAGTAGCTCAGGTTTCAAGATTATTTTATGTCCTTCAGTCATTGAGGCAGTCTCAGTTAATGCCCAATAGCATGCTAATAGTTATCTTTCAAATGTTGCATACTGGGCAGCAGCAGCTGGGAATTTTCTGGTCCCAGATCCCAACAGTTGCCACTGGGAAGTGCTCATGGGCTTTTGCTACTTCCAAGATCATTAGTCTGAGTGGGAGTCATAAGGGCCCAAAGGTGCCGAGAGCGTGACTGCCTTTGGTAATTCAGGCATGGCTTGCTTTTGTTCAGTTCCCCACTCCAATATAGCTTTCTTTTGTGTAGTCTTACAGATGGGAGCTAGCAATATTCCCAGGTGTGGAATATGTGTCCTCCAAAATCCAAATAAACCAACCAAATGCTGGGCTTCTTGTGTGGGTTCTAGGGGTGAGTAGTGACAGCAGTTTATTCTTAGTCACTTGCACAGTATCCCAGGGGACTCCTCCCCATGTTATTCCTAAGAATTTCACTGTTTGAGCAGGCCCTTGAACCTGTGTTGGATTTATTAACCAGTCCTGGTTGGTCCTATGTGTCACTGTTGTGTTCAAATCAATCCTGGCATACTCTTCTGTTTCTGATATTATCGTACTGTCATCAGTATATGGTGTATTATTACACTCGAGACCTGCATCAAGTCCAAGTCCCTCCTGACCAAGTCATGACAATAAGCTAGTGAGTTCACGTAACCTTGTGGTATCACTGTAAAAGTAAATTGGGATTTTTTCCATATGAAGGCAAACTGTGGTTGACTGTTTTCAGAGGTGGAGAAGAAAGCATTTGCAAGGTCAATCACAGACGACCAGTCTTCTTTGACCTGCTGTATTTTCTGTGTGGTTGAGCCCATGTCTGGAACTGCTGAGGTTATGGGTGATACAACTTTATTTAAGCCTCAGTAGTCTACTGTTAGTCTCCCCAAGCCATCTACCTATTTCACTGGCCACATAGGACTGTTGTACAGTGAATTTGTGGACAGCAGCACTCCAGCTTCTAGCATGATCTCTTTTTGTCTGCCAGGTACTCTCTGTTGCTTCAAGTTAATCGCCTGGGTGGGCTTGGACAGTTATAGCAGTTCCTATTTAGCCTGTCCAATTAAAACTGGCCTGAGGGTGGGCTTATGTGCCTCTGTTTTACAGTATTTGTAGGGGAAACAATCCCAGTCAGAGGTAATATCCATCCCAATAATACATTCAGATAAAGCAGATGCAACCACCTCTGCTCAAATACTCCAGTTTTCATCCGAACTTTCACCTTAATCTCATCTACCTTTGCATCTCCATATCCTCCCAATCTATTTAGCCCCTGATAAGCCTTTATACCTATAGGTTTTGGAATTACAGTGCAATGGACTCCCATATCAAGGAGTCCCAGGAAAGTTTCTTCTCCTCCCCCTAGCCATTTTACCCATACATGTGCAAATGACCTCAGGTCCTGGGATGGGGGTGTAGCCAGAAGATCCTGGCCCTTTTATCCATGTTTAAGTGGATTAACCTGCCTGACCAGCACCCCAAGGGATTCCAGGTTAGGGTTTCTCATTGTAATCTTAACCTTTAGGCTTTTTAAATTCCTCCAAACTGGGGTAGATAGAGTGGACTTGCTTGAGCCTCTGTAATGTTGGGGGAACAATAGGGGGCCCCACTGGCCCACCCAGTCTCTGGTAGTGCTGCATTAACACCTTTGTTTTAGCCCAGTCAGTGTCTGCTTTATTCATCCCATTTTTCAATAACCATGTGAAGACTTCCACTCTGTTGGGCCGAGTCCCTTGACTCTCTCCTTTGTCCCTCCCCATTTTCTTAATTACTTTAATGCTCTTGTTATTAGTAAGACCCATGCAGGGAAGCTGAGATAACAAATCTGACGTCTTCTTGAACTGTTCGGTTTTGTAGCAGTAAAGTTACATGGGGTGCCTATGTAACAGGGGCCCCCTTAATCACAGCATTCACCATAACCTGTATAACAGGAACAGTCAGTGGGTGAATATCTCAGGCATCATAAAACCACATGGCTTGCCTATGAAGCGATATCAGCTGCTTCACCTGGGGTTTTCCATTTGGCATTCATAGGGGAAGCTGGGCATTCCCCCTTCCCAGGATAAACAGACCTCACAGTGGCTTTTATTCAGTCCACCAGGCTAGCTGTTCTCTTAAGAATAACCTCCCATTTGGATCACCTACAGCCATCTGTGATTGTTCAATAGTGAGCTGTGGGTCTTGGGTCATCCCAAACATGCTCCTCCACACTGAAGCACTCAAAACCAAAGACACAGCCCCCAAACTGGTTACTCTTACAATCTACTTTAGTAAAGGTTCTTCAGGAAGCTGGTGATACCAATCTATATAATGAGCCAATTCTTTCACACTATATCCCCTGGTTTCAGTCATTTCCTGGTTTTCACCTCCCCCTACATAACTGGTCTTCTTGGTGACCAGAGGTCTCAGAGGTACTTCCTGTTGCTCTGACATAATTTTTCCCTTTCTAGGCAGCTTTGAGGCTAATGGGAGAAGCTCAGATTGACCAAAATCCGAGCTTAGTTCATCATCAAGCTCTGACCCAGTACTTTCTTTTATTTTCAATTTGACTATTACAGATAACAATAACGAGGGAATGGTGAATTTAGCCTGCTTCTTATTAGTTTGCATTTCCTTACTAATCCAGTGAGCCAAGTCCTTAGGAGTTGGGTCCACTGCCATTTCTAAATTCCACTGATAGCTTTTACCCTTAGTACCTGATTACAACACAGCTGCTGTTTCATACTATGGATGACTAGGTAGCCATTCAAGCATCGAAGGTTCCTTATCCCTTGCCCTTTCATTCTTTCTCTTCAAAAACCACATATTTATGTGAGCCTGGGCTGTTCTGACAGATCTCACTTCTGACACCAAATGTGATGGGTGAGCTATGCTTAACTCCTTTTGGGTTCTTAGACCTGATTCCAGTGTGTGTGTGTGCGGTGGGGGAGTCTTTCCACACATACATCACCAAGCAATTCTCAGACACCAGCAGCATGTCGGAGAACTCAACTCAATTCTGATGCTATCTGCCCGGAGACAGCACCAGATTCCCCAGGTTAAGGGCTCCATTCTACAAGACTACCCTCCCCCTCCCAGTCCAGATGCCAGTTGCAAACCCCAGGCAGTTACCTGTACTGCTGACCAACTTGCTACAGATTGGAGGTTCCCACAACGTCCCCCTTAGGTTCAATTAATTTGCTAGAACAGCTCACAGAACTCAAGAAAATACTTAGGTTTTCCAGTCATAAAGGATACTGTAAAAGATACAAGTTAACAGCCAGATGAAGAGATGTATAGGGCCATTGTATAATGACTATTCTACTCATTTCCTGTAAGAAACTATTGAGGATATCTTCCTAGTGCATCATGTACCCATTAAAGCAATGTTACATGTCACTAAGACATATATACTTTAGATCCTAAGCTGAAGTACATTGGGTGTCATCTAAATCAAATGTTTTATAATAGTGATAGTTCTGTTTCAATAGTTTTTTAAAATTTTTTATTCTTTATTACTATTCGGTGATATTAAGCTTTTGTGGCCAAAATTATTGTCATGTAGAAAAAACATTTGTGATAGTGAATAAAGGATCAAATAGATTTTTAAGAAAGCTCAATTAAGTTTTTAAAGGATATCTGTTAAAACATTTGGACATTTAATACTTTATCTTTCTCCATTTTTCTGTTGTTATTTACATTGTGACTTACTCATTTATCACAAATTAATCAGATAGAGGTGATGGGAGTTCAAAGATAAAATGACAAAAATCTACAGGAGTGGACCCTACTCCTAAACATAATGGAGAATTTTATAATCCAGTCGTTTGTTTTTTCTTTTTTTTATCAAAGTATCATTGATACACAATATTATGATGGTTTCACATACACAGCACAGTGGTTCACCATTCATCCATATTATCAAGTCCTCACTCCCTCCATTGCAGTCATTGTCTATCAGTGTAGTAAGATGTTATAGAGTCATTAATTGTATTCTCTGTCCTGTGCTACTGTCCCTGTGACCTACCTGTATTGTGATTACAAATTATAGTGCTACTTAATTCCCTTCTCCCTCCCCACCCATCCTCCCAACCTTTCCCTTTTGGTAATCACTAGTCCCTTTTCAGTGTCTGTGAGTCTACTGCTATTGTGTTCCTCTGTTTTGCTGTGTTTTTATATCCACAAATGAGTGAAATCATTTGATATTTGTCTTTCTCCACCTGCCTTATTTCACTGAGCATGATACCCTCTAGCTCCATCCATGTTGTTGCAAATGGGAGGATTTGTTTCTTTCTTATGCCTGAATAGTATTCCACTGTATATATGTACCCCCTCTTCTTTATACATTCATCTACTGATGGACACTTAGGTTGCCTCCGTATCTTGGCTATTGTATTTAGTGCAGCAATAAACATATGTCTTTTTGAATGAGGGATCTTGTTTTCTTCAGATAAATTCCTAGGAGTGGAATTACTGGGTCAAATGATATTTCTATAATCCAGTTGTTTCTTATTCCAGCAAAGAGGAGTTCAAGAAGCCAGTGCCTTTGTCAGTAATACTGGAAATCAGATAGTTTTCTCCTGATGGAAAATCACCTTTTCCAATGTAAAGGAATAAGAAATAAAAATGGGGTTTTATGAGGTCATAAGTTTTTTGAGCTTTTAAAGAACCTTAAAACTTATTGATTTTATACCCTGGTCTTAAGAATGATTACTAGCAGTAATTATGATTATTACCATTATAAATTTTTTAGCTTTCTCTTTTATCTGGTGAATTATTTTTTTTTACCTTTTAGATTTGATTATAACATTAGGAAGCTGACTTGAAAAAACATGAAGCATCTTGAGTCATTGGAAGTATCTATTATGTTACATTGCACTTGTGAGAACTGGCCTATACTAGCTTGGCTGCTATGTTTTGCTGTTTTGGGGGAAAAATCACCAGTGGATCTTTATTCTATCTTTGATTCTAACTGCTGCAATGCAGAGTGGGCCAGCAGATGACTTAGGCTAGAGTCATTTTCCTTATTCAAGGAGTGAACATGTTACCTCTTTTGTGCCCTTGACAAGGCCACCTGTCACATTTGCTTAGAACCATGACTCTTCTTAGAAAAATTTTCCCTAGAGTAGTTTTGGATTTGATACCAGAAAAAAAAAAAGAACTTTAAAGTTTAGCCAAAATGCCTCTTTAAGTAAACTTAAATTTACTGACTTTCTGGGAGTGTGATTTAAAAAAATAATCATATCTTTTGTCTTGAACTTTTAAAATCATGTAATTTTGTCCTCCCCCCTTTATAGTTGGATCGACTGGTTGTAGATGCAGCAAAGGAGAAAAGAGAGATGGAGCAAAAACATTCCACCATTCAACAAAAGGTACTTGAGGGGAATAGCTGAAGGAGATATCATTTTACACAACTGTTTGATTATTGTTTTCAGCAAGATACCACTGTGTTGGAGCAATTCTTCGAGTTGGTTTAATAATTAAATTGTGTAGACCAATTTCCCCCCTTTTTTGTGAAAAATAAAATTTTCCAGATATTCAGGCACATATTTTATTATTCTTTTATATCAAAGTATTTGAAAACCTTGCTCTTGAACCAGTTTATAAAAACTTCAGTCTTTTAGGGTCTTAACTAATTTAAAAGTGGCCTCTCGTTGGATTTAAAATGCTATGCATAGTTTGCATTAGGATATCACCAACTCCTATAAAAGTGTGTGTGTGAGATTGTGTGAGAGAGAGGGGATGGAATGGGAAGGTTGGAGGTGGGTGGTCGGGGAAAGCACTTTTGTATCATGTGTTTGTTTGGTTTTAGGAACTTTACAGATGCAGTCATTCAGAGACAGCACTTGTAACACTGAAATTTCACTTACACTTCTTGTTAATTTGCCCAAGCCTAGCTAAACTAGTATTTGAAAAATATTTTTTTAAGAATGAAAGTTTAAATATGAAACCTTTTTTTATTTCTGCATACTAACACTTTGAATATGGTAAACCTGGAGCTCAATTACTAATATTTTATATAGTAAATGATACTTTATGTATAGTAATCTAAAAATAAAACGAGGGAATTGGAGATTGAATGTAGTAATATGGGTATGTAACCAGATGCCTCTATACTTACTTGGCAGTGGAATACCTTGATCCTAAAAGGTGGTTTTCCCAGGGCGAGACTTATTTATTGCACTTTGCATGTGCTGATCCCTGCAATTTCCTTAAATGTGGGAAACTCAGCTGCATAATTTGTGGTAGTGGGGGAACTGTGTTTGTGCTTTCCCATAAAAGAAAAAAAAAAGATGACTTCTAGCATTGCTTTAAGAAATCTGTTCCCTTGGTACTGAGAAGTCAAATCAACTTATGTTGCAGTTTATTTAGAATTTAAAATACCAGTAAAATAGATCTGACATAGAAGATATCAGTGGCAAAGAATGAAGTGAAATCATTTATAAAGTAAGCAAAATTTTTGTTGGTGATAGGTTATTAACACTAAGAGACATTCTTTATAGATGGGAGGATTTCTAACAGGGCATCTTTAAGTTAGTTACTTCTAGTTATAGTCAGCTAGGACTTACTCCATGTTTTGTTTTGTTTAAAAGTTACTTGTTGGGTAACTTGTTTTAATGACATTACCATAGAAAGATTGTTAAAGATTGGGACCAATCTAATTAAAATGAGAGGTATTTGTAGAAATGTGACTATTTGCTTAAACTGAATTGTTTAATGAATATATACTTCTTTTAATATCTTTCCTGTTGTATTTCCAGCTTAATGTTTTACTGAATGTTCAAAAGTAGTAATTGCTAAATCTTAGATTAATTTATTTGATTTTAAATGACAATAAATCACTGCTTTCCTTAAAGAAAGTAATGCTATCTTTACTCATTATGAATACTTACCTTTTTCTGCCCTCAAATGCTGACACAAGGCTGCATTACAGGTAAAGGAAAAAAAGGAAAAGAAAAAGATTCAGTCAAAAGTTAAGGGACAGGATGTCTAATATAATTACCTAGATTTTTCAAGAATTGAAATCAATTGAGGAAACATTGATGTTATGCATATTCATGTACATGCCTTTTAGATATGTGTACACATTCCTGATGGATTTATACCTAGGAGTAACACTGCTCGTCAGAGTGTGTGTATATGTTCAGCATTAGTAGATAATGCTAAGTTATTTTCCAAAATGTTACACCATTCCTGGCAGGTAGCACTGTGTTAGAGTTTCCATTACTCCTTCCCTACTCATATTGTGAGAGTTTTGTAGGTAGACAGTGACATCTTATTGTGGTGTTAATTTATGCTTTAGTCATAATTAGCTTGATTGAGCAGCTTCCCCTAGGTCTGTTGGTCATTTGATATCATGTTTGTAAAATGTCTGTTAGTCTCTCCTATTTTTCCATCAGGTTATTTGACTGTTGATCAAATTTTTCACTTAATTTGGGTATCACCTACTTTTGGGATATATGTGTTTCTAATTTAGTTTTTAAAGATAAGTCTTTTATGTTTGGTATTTTTTGTGTATTGTTTAATTAATCTTTCCCAACCCAAGATCATGAAGATAGATTCTCCTGTACAATCTTCTAAGCATTTAGAGATTTGCCTTTTGTGTTCAGACCTTAAATCTATCTGTAATTGGGCCTTTGTGTATGGTTGGAGGTAGAGATCCAATTTCCTTTTATTTTCACATTGGTAGCTAGTTGAACCGGAATCAGATATTAAAAAGTTTTTATTCTTTCCCTTTTATTCAGTGTTATATCCTTTATTAAACCTCACATTTCCATACATGTAAGGTCTGTTTTAGGCTCTGTATTCTTTTTCATTGGTCTTTTTTCTCTTTCTCTTAATTTTACCAATTCTCTGCTGTCTTAATTATTTTAAGTATGTCTTGATACCTGACAAAGCAAACCCTCTTACCTTCTCTTCTTCAAAATTGAACTGCCTAAATTTTACATTCTCATATAAATTTCAGGAGCTCTTTTCAGGTTGCATAAAAATAGCTTTTTGGATTTTGGTTAGGATTGCCTTTGATCTGTGAATCAATTTGGGAAAGAATTGTTATCTTTATTTTTTATATTATTTTATTTATTTTATTTTTTATTTTTTTATTTTTTTTATAGTCCAAAAACAGAAGCTCTATTTGTTCCTTTATCCATTCTTTTTTTTAATCTTTATTTTATACTGTCTTCCAATCCATGAGCTTGAAATATTTCTCCATATAAGTTTTCTTGAATGTCCTTCATAAAGCTTGATAATTTTCTTATATATCCTTTGTTAGATTTATTCCTAGACACATATATTGCAAATGTTACTGTAAAGGTTGTCTTTTAGAAATTTCTTTTCTCACCATTTACTTTGGTTATTTATTAGAATAAAATTGATTTTCAGTATTGATTTTTGTAACCTGTAATCTTGTTAAACTCTCTTTAGTCTGGGTTTTTTTGGGTATTCTGTGTACTGAGTCATATCTGCAAATAATGATAGCTCATTTCTTCCCTTCCAGTCCTTACCTTTATTTTTTGTTTGTTATCTTTATTGGCTAGGACTTCCAGCATAATCTTGAACTGAAGTAGGAATAATGGTTCTTTTTATCTTGTTTGTATTTTCAAAAGGGAAAGCTTCTATTAGATTCCTTTCATTGGCCAGCCTTGGTCTTGCTTCTGTTAGTGGGTCTCAATGCCACAGCTTCATGTTCCCTAATGAGGCAAAGGCCCTTAAGGTGAAATCTGGCTTTCTTGATCTGCTTACCTCTTTGGCTTCCAGTTTTCACTTAATCTTTTGCCTTTGAGTATTCCTTCCTAATTTGTCTGTTCACTAATGTATTTAAATTCTAATATTATATATTTATCTGACATTATCAGTTACTTTCATTATAAAATCATGTAATCTGTCACATTTAAAGTACTATAAAATTAGTTGATATTAATCATAATTAAACCGAAGACTTAATTTATCTCAAGAAATATAGCTGAAAATTAGAAAAATACTTGTAACATGTACTGCACTTTCAAGGAAGTCTTATGTTATGTATTTAGTCACATCAGGGTTAGTAAAAAACTGCCAGTGTTACATTTAAAACATTTACAATGTTGCCACTCAATTGTATCTATTATTGACTTAATCTTGTCTGTATAGTTAAAGGAATTATATAGCCTTAAGTAAATTTCAAATGAGGAAATTAAAGTTTTCCTGATATTTTTTTCCAAAAAAAAAGTAGGAAGAAATGTAGCAATTAATTTATGGACTCTGTTTCATTTGATTATTTTGGATTATCATATCTTTTTATGGTTAAATTTTGAGAGATGTCAGCAGAGTTTTTGTTTTTAATTCTGAATTTAGTCCATTTCAATTTCCCATCTTCATAGACTGTTAGATTTGGAAGGACTCATAATTGCCACTCTGCTTCCCCTCCAGTTCAGGACCCATGTATCCCAGCATTCTTAGTGGTGGCCGTCCATCCTCTGCCAAACACATTCTCAGCACAGAAGGCTTAATATGCCCTAATAGGATAGCATTCTAATTTTGATCATTAGTCCAGAAGTAATTTTGAAACTACTGAGACTGATTTTTAGAGTTTTAAATTTGGGGAAAGCAGTCTTAACAGTTTTGTTCAAATTACTTTGGAAGTTCATCAGGAAATATTTTAGATATAGGATTTCTGATTTCAAACTTCATGAATCCTTGGAGGAAAATCGAAAGTTTAAATTGCGTTCAAGTAAAGACAAGAATGATTAGAATGAAAGAAGACCATAGTCCTCATAAAAAAGTGAGTTTGGAATGCCCACTTCAAACTGTGGTTCTTTTCTTTTGCAAAACTAAATTTTATTTTAGAAAAAAAAGGCCTTTATCTTGTTTCTGAACTCCCAAATTGCAGTTACCACTCCTATGAGATTTAAAAACCACCATAGTAGTAATTTATTTAGAAAATAATGGTACATTTAAATAATCCTAGTTAAATATATCCATATTCCTTTTTATTAAATTGTGAGCACACATCACCATAAAGTATTGGGATAAATGAAAACATTTTAAACATAGCACTTTATTAAATTTAGCTATTTCCATTGTCTGTGTACAGATTATTTTGTGCTTGTAATCAGTGTTATATAATATAAACAATTTATATTGTTTTCTCTTTTAGAGTATATTCTATGTAATCATCTATGTTTTTATATCATCATCACAATCATTATTGCATACTATCCCACTGATTTATACTACTTATAATATGGTGAAGCATTGCTCTGTTATTGAACATTTAGGTATCCCCCTTTTGTATGAATATTGTTGAAGTAACTATCTTAATACAAAGCTTTCTATCATTTGAGTTGTTTCTCTAGGTTAAATTTGTTGTCGAGAGAACTTAGTCAAATCATATGAACTTTTTTATGTGTTATTTTGTCTAGGATTTCTCCAGTGATGATTCTAAGTTAGAATATAATGTAGATGCTGCAAATGGCATTGTTATGGAAGGATATCTTTTCAAACGCGCCAGCAATGCCTTCAAAACTTGGAACAGGTAATATACTTCAAATACTAGTCTCAATCTTTACATATCCTCAGTTTTTTTACTTTTCCTGTGATTTGGCAACTTTGTCCTTCATAATTCTCTAAATTCACAGTCCATAGTAAGTTTTCTGAACCTTGTCCGTTGACAACAAGATGTCCTTCTAAGAAAGAGAACCCTAAGAAGCAAGTGAAAATGACAGCAGTAATTCTAATTCTAATTCTAAATTTAAGCAAAATTTTAACCAAGAAGCAAAGACAATCTTTCTAATGCTTGGTCTGTAGTAACTAGCTCATTATAATTAGTAAATTCTGAATGTGAGCTACCACCCATTTTGTCATGAATTGATTAAATTACAAACTATATATTGAATATAATGGATAAACAGGATGAGTACCCCCTCTCCCCACCCCACTTTGGGCTCCTCCACTATATGATGTTTATGTACATTTTTACTTAGTGTTTGCGTTTGAATCTTTAAGTTAGATGATCTTGATCTTTTGATCTTTGCAGTAACTTTCTAGGAGTTTTCAGAAATAGGATTATTTTCATATGTGAAGTGTGTGTGGCAGCTAATGCTCGTTTATTCTAAATTGTTGGCTACAAAAACTGAATTTTTTGCTAAACTTATTTTTATAAAATATTAATCCAGTAAATGTCTGTTAAATAAATGAATGTATAAAATATTTTACATTTTATAAATATGAATGTATAAAAGTATTTTCTCATGTTAATATAATACAGTGAAATAGTTTCTGATATTAAAGGATTAAAGATTAGGTTGCCTTTGGATCATCATTCTGAATAGTAGTGATTACCTTTTTCAAGGATGCCACACTCTCTTTTGGCAAAAATGAAAAAGAACAATTTTGTAATAATTCAGCGTCATATCAGGTTCTGGTTAAATTGATTTGCTATCCTATTTTTGGTTGAATACTATATTGTATTTGCTATTTGAGCAGAATATGAATTCATTTAATGATAAAGACGATTGTTTTCTTTTTAAAAAATGAATGTTAGCAAAATAAATAAAATTTTCCTGGTAAGTTTAATTTAATATGCATTTTTGTTAATTTAAATGGAAACAGTTATACTTGAATATTCAGTAGTTTGAAATGGATGCTTAGTGTACTTATTTTGATTTCTTGGTGATAAGGTTATATAGAAAAAAATTGACTGGTATTTTCTAAGTGCCAGTGATTTATTGAGCATTTCCCTAGCATTTGCTATTGTCAGATGTTTAAATGGTACATAGTGTGTTTTATTTGAAATAATTTTTCTTTACCTGAAAATGAATGTAAACTGGAAAGAATAATGTTTGTATTTGATATTAAGCCTCTGTGAGTTCTATAAGACTTTTCAATAGTGTACAACTATAGAAGGACTAAGATGCTCTGGTTAGAAACAATGTTTTTAATGATTGTAAAGTAAAAATAAAATACTAAAATTTTGTTTTCTAAGCTGTAAAAATTAAGACAATAGTCTTTTAAACTTTTCTTTGCAAATTTCCATAGCAGATAGGAAATTGAAATAAGAGAGTATGATTGTCAAATTTTCATAATAAACAGATTTCTCAACCAATATGGTTCCATGAGGTAATGTTAGAATTTTAACCTTCAGATTTCAAAACAACCTACTTAAAGTTTAACTCAGTGAAAATACAATAAACCCATAGAAACTATACCATTATATTAAGAAGAAATGAAATGAACTTCCATGGACTACTCCAATGAGAAATGATCTCACACTTCAGAATGAAGCGCAGTAAGTGTTAGTGGAAAATTGAATTGCCATTTGGGGCAATAGAAGAAAACTAATTTTGATTTAAGTATGGACTTTTTCGTTTTTATTATTTCATGAATTCTGTTAATTGGCATAGGTATTAAAATGTAGCTAAAATCAAATCACATAGGGAATAAGTATTAAATTCTCAATTGTAGACATGTTATCTACCATTTGCAAAGTGAAAAAGACAATACCTGTGGAAATGAGGCTGCTTTCTAAAGGAGATGCCGTCTGTATGTAGTGGGGTGACAATCATTGATTAGAATCATATGTCATAGTTCAACACTTTTTAGTAAAGAAATGGTGGTGCTGAGAGGTGGTTGCTCATTCAAGGTTACACAGCTGGTTTGTGACAAAATTGAGGCCCGAAACCTGGCATTCTTTTTACTTGCCATGGAAATTCCAAACAATCTGTATTTTGATAAAACAAAATATAACTTCAGCTATTAAAACAATATGGATAGCAAATTAATTTCATTTTCATATGCTTTTAAAGAACATTTTGATGAAAACACTAGTAAAAAGTAGATTTGTAAAGAATGTTTATGATATAGTGTGATGAATTATATAAAACTATTTTCACAAACAAAAACAAAATAGTTAAAACGTTTTAACAAAAGTCTTATTTTCTAGGTCATCGGTAAGTAACTATAAAAGAAGAAAGAGTAATCTATTGAATATTACTTAGAATTTTATTTTGCTTTTCAATTATAAGCATTTGGGATGTATCTAAATTTGATGAATTTTGAAATTTATCAAAAATCTAATCTCAGGACATACTTGTAAATACTTTCCCATTGCTTATCGTGACTTTAGAGTCTACTTGCCTAATTAGTTCTCTTTCCAGCTTGATTTAATACATTCTACTCTGAATAAAAAGACTTGTGTATTTGTGATCCTTGTGCCCTAAAAATCCAGTAATCTAGCTATTGAAACATGAAGATTTTTCTGTCTACTGTTATAGTATTTTCTTTTGGGTTGTTTATGGATTAGTTTTAGGGAACATTTTTCTTGTGGTCACCATAAGGTACCAGTCATGTGATGAGAAATTTCCCATTGTCTGTAGTTTTACGGAACATTTTAAAAAGACCTTGCCAAGGGACATGTGAATTTGACTAGGAGTTTCCAGATGGTTTTAAAACTTGACGCTATGCTTTGTGAAATCTAACTATATCTTGAAAACATCGTTCTATAATTTAAAAGTTAACCAAAGAGTTCATATTTTGTGTGACATAATTGAAATAGCATGACATGAAATGTTTCATGTCTTATTGAGCTGCTGAGTTTGTTTCTGGTTAGTTTCAGATTTCTAGTGTATGGTGTCTCTAAGGTTTTTATACATCCATAAAATAAATTTTTCTGAAGGTATGTGAGAACTACCAAAATAATCTTTCCATATCAGGCTATTTTCTCAGTGTGGCAGCTTCACTTCATGCTCAAATCAGTGCCAAATGGGTTACTAATATCTATATTTTTCATATGCTTTTCATGATAATTTTAGAGAAGGTGAATGAACAAGGAAAATAATTAAATGTTAATAAATTTATTTAGTAAAAAGTGGGTAAAACTAATAAAGAAGTTCAGTAATTACATGCTATGCTCAGTCTTTGTTCAAGTAGAAAATGTACCTAAAAGCATAAAATGTATTATGATTTCTTAAAACAAAGTATCCTATATGCTGTTGGTACAGATATAAATTTTTATTGGCCTTTTGTTTCAAAATAACAAGTGTATACATAAAGGTAAACTTAACTTGCATGTGGCTTTAGTGTCTGCTATCATTTGATGAAAAGGGGTGAGCAGGTGGGAGGACAATTTGGCTAAATGTATTTTATAATCTTTGAAATACTTAGTGATCCCACCTTAAGAAAAGTTTTCATTTGTTTCAGGTTTATGTAGATAAATCTGTAGAGATTGTTTAATGTAATTTTTTAGAAGCTGCTTATTAAGATAGGAAAAGGTACAATCTATATTTTATAAGAGACCGCCATAGAGGCAGAGAATAATAGAGGTATGCTCAAGTGTACTAAGTCTTACCAGAATTTTCTGTATCATAATACTTGAAGAAAATTTTTGAATATTTCTGAAATAGTGTTTCAGATTCCTAAGAGTTGGAATTAATTGTACAAATGCAGATATGTATGATATGTGAACAATATGAAACAATTTTTTTGTTACTATTTATTAGGTTATGAGCTTAAGCCTGTTCCTTTAATTCTTGCTTTATTTTCATATCATGCTAGCAGTCCTTTGCTTAATTTGCACATTTGCGTTTTCATTCTTTTACCACCTGTCCCTTATGTTTTAATCCTGCCCCATTTTTTCATGTGACAGGAAAAAGCCCGATCATATCAGGTATCAAATGGCTTCCTTCCCCTCTCCTTCCCTCCCCTCCCCTCCCCTCCCCTTACTCCAGTTTCCTCTTTGGCACGAGAAAGCTCATAATTAACCTGCATTTCAGTTGGATTACTTGCAATGGATATAAAAGTCTCTTAATGTTTTAAATTGGGAAGAAAAGATAACTATACTATTTGAGGAATGAAATTAAGTCTTTTCATTGCCTCTCTACTCAATTTGTTTTAATTTGGGAAAGAACATTTCATATGTTTATAGTTACCCAAAGAAGATGTAGATTGATATGAATACTTCAGTATTTTTTTTTAAGGGAAATAAGCTAGTAAATTTCAAAAATTTTAAGCGGTAACTAGGAATTGGTCCCTTTGGTAATAATCATTAGTTATGTGGAAAGGAAACATCGTCAAAACCTTGATTTTTTTTCTTTGCTTTCATTTTGGTCTTTTTTCCTGTGAAAAATTACATTGAATTTGAAATAAAGGAACAAACATGTTCACGCTTTTAATTTTGTTAAGTGTTCACCTCTTCGGCACCTGTATGAATGTGTGTGTGAATCTATCATCTATATAGTTTTAGTGATAAAACTTAATTTGTATAGATTTAGAAATTGGACTCTTACCCATGTCTTCATTTCAAGTACATTTCTAGGATTAGTGATCAAACATGGTAAAAGATACTTGATTTAAAAAAATATGTATTTTTCCCTTCTTTCTTCCCTTCACCTCAAATTTTGTCATCTGAAAGCTTCTCATTGGTATTTAAAAATTAATAACATTTGATTGTTTATGGATTTAATGTTTTGGACTAAAATCATTGAAGTATTTCTTCAGTTATTTTAATTTGAGATAGATATAAAGTAGTATCTTACTTTT